GAGAGTTACTCTGTAAGTTATATACCCAGGAGAGTTACACTGTAAGATATATACACAGGAGAGTTACTCTGTAAGATATATACCCAGGAGAGTTACACTGTAAGATATATACACAGGAGAGTTACTATGTAGGATATATAACCAAGCGAGTCACTATGTAGGATATATAACCAAGCGAGTTACTATGTAAGATATATAACCAGGAGAGTTACACTGTAAGATATATACCCAGGAGAGTTACTATGTAAGATATATAACCAAGAGAGTTACTCTGTAAGATATATACACAGGAGAGTTACTCTGTAAGGTATATACCCTGGAGAGTTACTCTGTAAGATATATAACCAAGAGATTTACTCTGTAAGATATATAACCAAGTGATTTACTCTGTAAGATATATAACCAAGAGAGTTACTCTGTAAGATATATACCCTGGAGATTTACTCTGTAAGATATATAACCAAGAGAGTTACTCTGTAAGATATATAACCAAGAGAGTTACTCTGTAAGATATATACACAGAAGAGTTACTCTGTAAGATATATAACCAAGAGAGTTGATCTGTAAGATATATAACCAAGATAGTTACTCTGTAAGATATATATACAGGAAATTTACTATGTAAGATATATAACCAAGAGAGTTGATCTGTAAGATAAAATGGATGGATGGCATAATGATAGATCAATGTGGGTACGAGAGCCTGAAGCAGGGTGTAAATAAGTAGGGGTATTGTTGTTAAAAAGGCACAAGTTGTTTTTATCTATAAATGCCTCAATACGTCTTCATCTCTCGTCTGTGTTGGGAGAGAGGAAGACGTATTGAGGAATTTATAGATAAAAACAACTTGTGCCTTTTTAACAACAATACCCCTACTTATTTACACCCTGCTTCAGGCTCTCGTACCCACATTGATCTATCATTATGCCATCCATCCATTTTATCTTACAGATCAACTCTCTTGGTTATATATCTTACATAGTAAATTTCCTGTATATATATCTTACAGAGTAACTATCTTGGTTATATATCTTACAGATCAACTCTCTTGGTTATATATCTTACAGAGTAACTCTCTTGGTTATATATCTTACAGAGTAAATCTCCAGGGTATATATCTTACAGAGTAACTCTCTTGGTTATATATCTTACAGAGTAAATCACTTGGTTATATATCTTACAGAGTAAATCTCTTGGTTATATATCTTACAGAGTAACTCTCCAGGGTATATACCTTACAGAGTAACTCTCCTGTGTATATATCTTACAGAGTAACTCTCTTGGTTATATATCTTACATAGTAACTCTCCTGGGTATATATCTTACAGTGTAACTCTCCTGGTTATATATCTTACATAGTAACTCGCTTGGTTATATATCCTACATAGTGACTCGCTTGGTTATATATCCTACAGAGTAACTCTCCTGTGTATATATCTTACAGTGTAACTCTCCTGGTTATATATCTTACATAGTAACTCGCTTGGTTATATATCCTACATAGTACCTCTCCTGTGTATATATCTTACAGTGTAACTCTCCTGGGTATATAACTTACAGAGTAACTCTCTTGGTTATATATCTTACATAGTAAATCTCTTGGTTATATATCTTACAGATTAACTCTCCTGGGTATATATCTTACAGTGTAACTCTCCTGGGTATATATCTTACAGTGTAACTCTCTTGGTTATATATCTTACAGTGTTACTCTCTTGGTTATATATCCTACATAGTGACTCGCTTGGTTATATATCCTACATAGTAACTCTCCTGGGTATATATCTTACAGTGTAACTTTCTTGGTTATATATCTTACAGATTAACTCTCCTGGGTATACATCTTACAGTGTAACTCTCCTCGGTATATATCTTACATAGTAACTCGCTTGGTTATATATCCTACATAGTGACTCGCTTGGTTACATATCCTACAGAGTAACTCTCCTGTGTATATATCTTACAGTGTAACTCTCCTGGGTGTATATATCTTACAGTGTAACTCTCCTGGGTATATATCTTACAGTGTAACTCTCCTGTGTATATATCTTACAGTGTAACTCTCCTGGGTATATATCTTACAGTGTAACTCTCCTGGGTATATATCTTACAGTGTAACTCTCCTGGGTATATATCTTACAGTGTAACTCTCCTGTGTATATATCTTACAGTGTAACTCTCCTGGGTATATATCTTACAGTGTAACTCTCCTGTGTATATATCTTACAGTGTAACTCTCCTGGGTATATATCTTACAGTGTAACTCTCCTGGGTATATATCTTACAGTGTAACTCTCCTGGGTATATATCTTACAGTGTAACTCTCCTGGGTATATATCTTACAGTGTAACTCTCCTGGGTATATATCTTACAGTGTAACTCTCCTGGGTATATATCTTACAGTGTAACTCTCCTGTGTATATATCTTACAGTGTAACTCTCCTGGGTATATATCTTACAGTGTAACTCTCCTGGGTATATATCTTATATAGTAACTCTCTTGGTTATATATCTTACATAGTAACTCTCTTGGTTATATATTTTACTGAGTAACTCTCCTGGGTATATATCTTACATAGTAACTCTCCTGGTTATATATCTTACAGAGTAACTCTCCTGGGTATATATCTTACAGTGTAACTCTCCTGGGTATATATCTTACAGAGTAAATCTCCTGGGTATATATCTTACAGTGTAACTCTCCTGGGTATATATCTTACAGTGTAACTCTCCTGGGTATATATCTTACAGTGTAACTCTCCTGGGTATATATCTTACAGAGTAACTCTCCTGGGTATATATCTTACAGTATAACTCTCCTGGGTATATATCTTACAGTGTAACTCTCCTGGGTATATATCTTACAGTGTAACTCTCCTGTGTATATATCTTACAGAGTAACTCTCCTGGGTATATATCTTACAGAGTAACTCTCCTGTGTATATATCTTACAGTGTAACTCTCCTGTGTATATATCTTACAGTGTAACTCTCCTGTGTATATATCTTACAGTGTAACTCTCCTGTGTATATATCTTACAGTGTAACTCTCCTGGGTATATATCTTACAGTGTAACTCTCCTGGGTATATATCTTACAGTGTAACTCTCCTGGGTATATATCTTACAGTGTAACTCTCCTGGGTATATATCTTACAGTGTAACTCTCCTGGGTATATATCTTACAGTGTAACTCTCCTGGGTATATATCTTACAGTGTAACTCTCCTGGGTATATATCTTACAGTGTAACTCTCCTGTGTATATATCTTACAGTGTAACTCTCCTGTGTATATATCTTACAGTGTAACTCTCCTGGGTATATATCTTACAGTGTAACTCTCCTGGGTATATATCTTACAGTGTAACTCTCCTGGGTATATATCTTACAGAGTAACTCTCCTGGGTATATATCTTACAGTGTAACTCTCCTGTGTATATATCTTACAGAGTAACTCTCCTGGGTATATATCTTACAGATTAACTCTCCTATGTATATATCTTACAGTGTAACTCTCCTGTGTATATATCTTACAGTGTAACTCTCCTGTGTATATATCTTACAAAGTAGCTCGCTTGGTTACATATCTTACAGTGTAATCCTCTTGGTTATATATCTTACAGTGTAACTCTCCTGGGTATATATCTTACATAGTAACTCGCTTGGTTATATATCTTACATAGTAACTCTCCTGTGTATATATCTTACATAGTAACTCTCCTGTGTATATATCTTACAGTGTAACTCTCCTGGGTATATATCTTACATAGTAACTCTCTTGGTTATATATATTACAGAGTAACTCTCCTGATTATATATCTTACATAGTAAATCTCTTGGTTATATATCTTACATAGTAACTCTCTTGGTTATATATATTACAGAGTAACTCTCCTGATTATATATCTTACATAGTAACTCTCTTGGTTATATATCTTACATAGTAACTCTCTTGGTTATATATCTTACAGAGTAACTCTCCTGATTATATATCTTACATAGTAACTCTCCTGGTTATACAAATGTATATCTTACGGAGTAACCCTCTTGGTTATATATCTTACAGATTAACTCTCCTGGGTATATATTTTACTGAGTAACTCTCCTGTGTATATATCTAACATAGTAAATCTCCTGGGTATATATCTTACAGAGTAAATCTCCTGGGTATACATCTTTGAGGTTAACTCTGTTTGTTATATATATTACAGAGTAAATCTCCCTGGTATATATCTTACAGGGTAACTCTCCCTGGTATATATCTTACAGGGTAACTCTCCCTGGTATATATCTTACAGGGTAACTCTGTTATATATCTTACAAAGTAAATCTCCTGGATACATATCTTACAGAGTGAATCCGCGGGCCACAAGTTCTGCCTCCTGGACCAGTCGTAGGGCTCGTGAAGTAAAGCGCAACAATCCCTCACAGCAGCTGACAAGCTGGTGAACATGCTGGGAGGCTCGGGACAGTCTTAACTGATGACGATACAGGACAGCCAACCTTGAGATCACTGCTACCATGTAACACAGACACAGACCTGCTGTCACGTCTGTCAGGCTGCGGTATTTCCATGGCATCTCTGGATACACCACACGTCCATACAGGTAAGCCAGGAGACAGGGCAGTGAAAGGGTCACCAAACTGTTAATTAACACAATGGTGTAACATTAATTACCATCACTTAATTGCTTATCATCCAGCCAACGGTCTCCCAATGTTGAAATGAAACATTCAATTATTCAGACGAATGATTTGGAATCAACCTTAAATCAACCTTGAATTAACAAAATAATGGATATGATAATTTTTCTAAGATTATTAATATAAAATTTCCTACTGTTTAGAGAAAAAGATAAACATGCATATGAACCTCATTGTATGGTTTACATAATATTTGAAGCTCATTATTTGTCAGTAATGGCAAATCAATAATACATTCACTTCCAAGACTTCCCTAAATGTGCTTAACACATGTACAGAGGAATACAGTGGCTGGAACATGTTCCTATCTGAGTGATGTACAAAGATGGATGGTCAGAGTTTCCATTAATGAATCTTACTATGTATTGCTGTTTTGAATAAGTATACATGTGTGATACAAATTTAGTGTTGGATAGGTTTGGCCTTTGATACTTACAATTTAGGCCTGAGAGTGAGTCTGTAGGTAGGAGTATCTGGTACAGATAAAGAAGTACTCAGACAGTCTCTATCCTCCTCTGTCATTAACTTTGACTGCAGTATCAATTTAAAAACCTCTGCTTTGTTAACATTTGTCTGAAAATAATGAAACTAAAGTTTCAGAAAATTTCGCAAATCCCCCCAATCCTTAAACAAAATGCTTCAAGATTTTTATAATTAAACTGTAGCAATTTCATCAATGTACAATTTATAGGCTGACAATGGACTAGAAATTTTATCAGAATATATATTGTATTTGCATAAATTATTGGTTGTATGATAAAAAGGATCTTGAATTTGTTTCTAACTCACTTGAGATAAAACTCATCCTGTATTATTTTGCATGTTTATTTTCACGAGAACACCTGATGAAATATCCTCAGATCTTAAATAGAGAACCTGAACAGATCTAAGACCTTGGGCTGTTTTATTGACAACTTACTAGTCTCTCAATGTCCTCAGCCAGCATTGTTAGTCCAAGGACAGCCATGATCAATCCCCTCAGGGAAAGCAATGGTGACCTCCATATTTGATGCACATCCTACATAGAAAAGTAAAGAAAACTGTGTAAATAATTATTTGGTGCCTAACTGATTTCTTCTTCTTCTTTATCTGGTGTCACCATGTTGTGGTACATCTCTCTGTCAAAACGTGAAGATTAAGACCCAGAATAAACTTGGATTACTAATAGTGATGTGTTGACTTAGACTATTTGCAGATGACAGCATAATATACAAGACAATAAACAACAAAGAAGACACATTAAAACTACAACACGACCTCGATGCAGCAGGACAATGGGAGACAGACTGGTTAATGCAATTTCACCCCGACAAATGTAACATACTTAACATTACACCGAAACGCAACAAAATACACCATGATTACAAACTCCACAACCACACATTACACAAAGTAGAAACAAGCAAATACTTAGGACTAACAGTACAAAACAACCTGCGATGGGACAAACACATAAACAATATCACAGCCAATGCCAATAGGTCCCTAGGTTTTCTCAAACGCAACCTGAAAATAAACTCACCACATATAAAAGAACATGCATACAAAGCATTATATATAGTTAGGCCTAAACTTGAATACTGCTCTTCCATTTGGGATCCATACAACACAAACCAAATTAAACAAATAGAAAAAACACAACGAAGAGCAGCACGCTACATGCAAAACAGATACCACAACACTAATTCCGTAACAGACATGATCCACACACTTCAATGGCCAACACTACAAACACGACGCTTATACACTAGAATTATCCTTTTTTACAAAATTATACACAGAATCGTAGCTTTAAACCGAACACATATACTCACACCTGTAGACCCCCGCACCAGACAGGTACACCCGTACGCATACAAACACATATCTGCTACAAAGGACACCTACAAATACTCATTCTTCCCACACACAGTAACACAATGGAATCTCCCCCCCTTAGCAGCAGTCCAATGCACAACACTAGAGGACTTCAAGGCACACTTACCCTACACAGCCCTTGAAGCCCACATCACACACTAGTACATACACCAGATTTTAACTTTTTATCTATACCTTGCACAAAAAAATCACAAAAAAAAACAAAAAAACACCCAACCTAATCACTACAAATAACCCCTTCACGCCTCTACAATAGGACCCCCGATGGCATAATCATCAAACTGATGGAGCCCTCGTATAAAGAAGAAGAAGAAAAAAGGAAGAAGAAGATGTTAAGATGTAACAGTAATGAGTTTGAGTGCGTACTGACCTCTGTGTGAATGGTTCTTGCATGCTGAACAGGCGTTTCTTTATGCACGTGTACATCAGCATCTGTCAAACCAGCTTCTCTTAGGCTTTGATACAGGGGGGAGTGCTGGAAATATTATTATATTTTAATGTAATAGTGCAGGTAATGTTATCAAAAGTAACCATTGATTCTGTAAATACATTATAGCTGACACACCTACCTCAAACATAACATCTTCATCTTCGTCAGATCCATCCATGTTCCGGTTTTCGACGCTCCGATTTTGGTTTACTCTTACTCGTTTCCGGTTCCTGTTATATGGGTACATACTAATAACATGATAAAGAATGGTGTTTGACGTTACGTATTATAAAAAAATCGGTTTTAATGCAAGATAGAAAGCATTATCTTAACACAATTAGCAAATTAATAAGGTAAAATGTTTGTTAATACTGTTCATTGAAAAATTTATCAAATGAACCAGACAAAAATATTCTAATGTTAAATAATGAGATTGTTTGTCGAAAAAAAAAGATTCCCGGTGTAAAGGCTTATGTCATTACCATCGTCGATGTAAAAAATGTTTAGTCATTTCAGCTGTATTAGTACTAGATATTAACAGATACATGCTCATCTTATTTCCAATTTTACGTTGTATTTATTCTTAGTAATTTTTATCACAAAACATATATTTTTTCAAAAACAAATTACACTTTCCCGATCATGTCGTTAGGAGGTTCCGCTTTTGGAATTTCCCCCAGCTATTTTTAGAGGGAGAGTCTGTAAGCCCGTGATCAGGTTCAACACATCCCGACGTTATTCGAGCTCGCAGTTCAATTAATTGTCAGAAGTCCAGAAGAACTCTTCACTTAACATAAAACACATCGGGGATGTTGAGTATCTGTCAGAGAAGATCCATCGTTCGTCCTCCAATGATCAAGCATAAATTTTGAAAACGAAAGTAGGTTTGCTTCTGTATCTGTAGGTTAACGTTTACTACTTGTTAGTGGCTCACTATTGAGCAAAAGTCTACCTATGAACTCTAGTGGGTCGAGTAGGCAAAATTCAGTCAGTATGAGCTGTTATATAGCTAATGCAGCTTTGAAGATTTCCATTTACTGTTTATCTTAGATAAGAACTTGTCTATTTTTATCACTTTATTTGTAAGTCACAAATGATGGGATAATCTGAAATACAGTAAAGGACATGTTGTATTAGATATGTCTATATTATTCTCTATCTCCCCCAAGTCTTTGGTATGTCTCTACTAAATTATGTATATGTAGCGGAATTGGACTGGGTCGATCGTCGACGACCAGATAGCCCAATTGGTAGAGCATCAGTCTAGAGTTCGGAGGGTTCCGGGTTCGAACCCTGGTCTGGCTGTGCATTTTTCCTCTCCTGTTACATTTGGCGCCCAACGAAATATACCCACAGAAGGTGGTATAGTTTTATCATTTCCGATGGTTGGGTTCTGTCTGCATGGTTTTAATGCAGACATGGTCCCCAAGGACAAGCAGTGGTAGTTGCTATAATGGTATGTTCAGACCAACGCTCATCAGCTCTCATGTGTCTGTTTCTCAGTGCATATTCTCTGGCAGTCAAGGTCTCCTGGCAGGTGTTATGTTGTCTGTCCCGACCAGGAAGAATTGGAATGAAATCCTTGATAGATCTGCCAAAGACACACATGGCTGATAGTGTAGTGTCTTTGTCTGGGCAGTCGCGGTACTGTAATATCCCTCACTGGAAAGAGTCTGTGTCAAGTTCGCCAAGTGGTCCCATGTTGTTGGTAATCAGCCTCTTGATAGTCTTAACTCCAACCTCAGCACGCCAGTTGCTATGAGAGAAAGCAACGGAAGATATAAAGCGATGGTGAACTCCCCAGGTTTTCAAGAAATCTTGTGTTTTGGCAGCGGTGAACTCTGGGCTTCCATCGCATGAAAGCTCATCAGGAATGCCATATGTTACAAATGAGACCAGTCAATAAGACCAGTTGCCCCGCCTGAGGTGTGTTAAACGATGGGCCAGTCTGCGCACACACATAGGAAAGGGTACACTGGTGATGTTGCAGGGGCTGATGGTGCACTCGGCTGAGATGGAGCCATTCGGTTGCACTATTTGCAGCTGTACCTAAGAGTGGTGATTGCGGGAGTGATTCCAGGCCAAAATACAGATGCCTCAGCTCTTGCGTTCATTGATGACACGCCTTGGTGGGCGGCATGTAGCACTGTCAGACAATCTTGTCGGAGTGCGGGTGGAATCACAACATGGTCTTTGTAGACTACTACACCATCCACTGTGTACAGGTGATCGCGGAACTGGTGGTACTCAAAAAGCGGCTCAGGCAGCTCTTGGCGGAATTCTGGCATTCCATCTTCAATTATGTTGACTAAACTGGACATATTCTCATCACTGGTAGTTGCAATGCGAACCCTGTCCCAGGTGATGGACTGTAATGTGTGGAAGGATGAAGTTGCAGCAAGGTGTACAATGTCTTCGCTATCATTCTGGTATATCTCTATGCATCGAATGCCAGCAAGGAATGTATGTCGAACGTCTGAGGGCGATTGGTAATATGGTCTCGGATGATCCATTCAGTGGCACATGGGTAATCATACAAATGTAGTCTCCTAGATGCATCTTGGGAGGATGACTTTCACCTGTGGGTTGGCAGGAGACAGATTAGCAGCCCGACGTTTCACTCCAGGAATGTAGGTCATATGGAATCTGTATATAAGGTTTTTTCCTTCAAGTTTCGAAGTCGCATGTTTGATATATCATCCAGTGATCGGTCGCCAAATAACTTAAGAAGTGGTTTATGGTCCACAGCGATAATGAGCTCCTCACATTCTAGAACTAAGTAACAAGCCTTGTCCAGGGCATCGGTGACAGCTAGGGTTTTCCCCTCTACTGGAGCATATTGAGATTCAGCACTGTGGGTGAAGCGGCTACCAACAAGTGTTATTCTCCAATCTGTCGGGCAACAGAACAGCTCAGTCTTAGCGCAGCTACAGAGTTTTTTGCCAGAATCATATCCCGACTTTAGACCAAGCTGTGGCAAGGCATTTAGGTTTGGACTTGTCGAAGATCTATACGCCTACTTCTATCTCGCTCACGATCACTTGCTTTGATTCTGCTAATAGCTCATTGAGGTGGTCATTCCAATGGAAGGGCATACCTGGCTTAAGGAAATCACGGAAGGGAATCATCCGGTCAGTCACGCTGAAGGCATATGAAACCTGGTTGATAAGCCCAAAGCAGGATCGGATGTCGGTGATGCTTCTCGGTTGCGGGAAATCTAGGATTGCCCGAAGATACTTTCTGCAAGGTTTTACGCTATCTGGAGTAATTTCAAAGCCTGCAAATTTCACCATTTCCTGTCCAAAGATGAACTTCTCAGGATTAAGGGATATGCCGTTCCTACCACATATGTCCAGCCAGTTGCATGCCTGGAAAAAGCTTTTCCCCAGACTGTTGGACCAGAGGAGTGTGTCATCGATGCATTTAGTCTTGTTTGGGACCTCTGCACAAATCTCATCAAACTGTCTAGGGTAGCCATCGCCCGATGCAATGTAGCCAATGTAGCCCTGTGGTGCGGTGCAGTAACGGTATCTTCCCCAGGGAGTGATAAAGGTGGTGAGATGCCTATCTTCTTCTCTGAGAGGGACACTGTGATAGCTGTTCCATGCATCAAGAACAGACTTTATTGTTCTGTGTGGCACCGATCTTGCTTGATGGAATGGTGACTGAGTGTGGTGGGTCTGACGTGTGGCATGTGCGTTCAGAGGTTGCAAGTCAACAGTGTGCCTCGGTTTGCCATTTTTCTTGGCGCAAATGACCATGCGATGGCACCATTTCTCTGGTTCACATACTGGTACTGGTTCAATCACTCCTAATCTCTCATCTCTATCCAATCCCGCCTTGACATTGTCTCGCCAATGTATAGGTACTGGCACAGGAGTGTATGGCTACCGGTGTGGCAGATGGATCCACCATAAGTTGAAGTGGGGGACCCTCCATCATAGGTATTGGCTGATGTTCACACGTGTTAAATGTGCTTGACCGGTAGTGTTTGAGTAGATATTGCCTGAGTGCCTCACGGTTCTCATTTGCAGGGAATGGCAGCCTTGTAGGAGGAGGTGGAGGAATTTGGCGGCGTGGGCAGCTGCATTTTGTGGCTAGCCCACTGTCATTGCTATCACTAGCAAGTGGAACATCGGTCATGGCGTCAATTGTCAGGTTGCCACTTACATTGCCAATCGTTGGAAAGGAGTCTGTGATCATTCATAGGCATACACAGGCCTCTCTGCTGATGAAGAGCTTGTCGGAGTTGTTGGTAATGTAGGTTATCTGACGCATGGATCAAGTTGCCCCGTTTGTCCTTTCCGGCAAATCAAAGTATGACTGCACCAAGAATGGTTATGCCTTTGTTGTTGGCAGCATGCATCTTTAATGTGACTGGGATGAGGTTGTTCTTCTTCATTCCAAGTCGATGGATGACCTTGATGCCAGCTTAGCAGCTCTGACAACCATGGTCAGGTTGACAAATGGTTGTGGTTTGGAAGAACATTTCACCCAAGTATCAGACAGCTGGCTGTAGAGATGCTGATCCAGAGTAATGGCCTAATACTACCATGGAGCTGGCCAAGGCTGTTGGTAGCACAGAGGGAGTCAAACACAGCACCTTCATACTCTGCAGATGATTTCGCTCCAATTTGTTATTATTCCACATATTGTTAAAGTGGTGGTTGATTCCACAATGTTTACATGTGTGACCATACGCTGAGCACTCTTTCTTCCTGATATTTGTAGACGAACAAATCCCATGTCCATTTCTTTCTTTGTGTAAGAACACAACTTCTGTTTGTCCGTCTTCTTTTGTTCATGCTGATTGCGGTCTTTCACAGTGTCATTTAGTCCACGTTTGTATCTGAAGCTAATAGCTGCTTCTGCACCATGGGTGTGAGTGTCCAGAAGGCGTGAGGCGGAGGGTTTACCGGATTCCTTGGCCTCCACAAATTTAAATACTTCCTCTAATGTCATCTCCTGATTTGTGTCGCCCAGGTCAAGCTGGATTTCACTGTCTTCTAGGCCTCGGCTTAGTACATCACGAAGAACTGCCTCTGTATAGCCAACATTGTCATTACAACTCAGACATTTGATAACAAATTTGCAGATTCCTGCCTGTTCACGGAGCCGGGCACCAAATGAGTCTCTGTCTTGGCCATATTGTCAAGAGTAACCCGAGCAACCATAGTATTTTCCTTATCATGGGGAGTGTCTTCATAGCCCTGATAACTTCTGCCTCAGATTTATTCGTTAATGTTCCACCAGCAGTACGAGTAAGATCCTTTCGTAGGTAGGTGCTCATTGCAACACTCTAATATTTGAGTCACTCTGTCCTTGCCGGCAACCTTGGTGGCTTCAACATAGTCAGTCCATCTGGATAGGAAACATGACCAGTTGTCACTGGTGCCGGCGGATGATATGGTTGGTCGTTTAACTTTTTCAACCTTCGCGGTAGCAGCAGGTGAAGCATTGGCATTGTGGATTGTTGCATGAGTGGTGATTAGAGCTGCGCAGCCACAATGGCATCCATATCAGGGGTGGCGTATATACAGCCGTCAATAGGGCAGTTGATCACTGGCATCTTTTAGCAAGGGTACAGATTCAGCGAGTAATGGTGATGGGGTATTGTATTCGCCGTCAATGTTGTCCCATCATAGATAAGAACTCGTCTATTTTGATCACTTTATTTGTAAGTCACAAATGATAGGACAATCTGAAATACAGTATAGCATATGTTGTATTACATGTGTCTATATTATTCTCTTGATCTGGCAATTTGTTTCACACCGTAGCCGTAGGTCTAGCTGGAATAATACCACGTCAGCAGGTGGGAATTGTCATGCAATGCAAAAAAGTACTTTTATGTAATATATAATTTTCATTTGATGATACTTTCATATGAATTTTAAGTATGTAAGCCTTATTGGCTGCTGATAATGATTACATGGACAGTTTAAAAGGAAGAATAGTTATGAAAAACAATTAATGTGTCATGCAATTTGCTATTTTTATTTGCATATCATGTTCAGAATTCTATTTTTTTTTTAAATTGTTGCTATTTTGAGAAGAAATTTGACCAAGGCTTCTGAGTCTCTCAAATATTTGAACTATGTATAATATTCTTCTGATATGATTGTTTATTCCCCAATGTTAGCCAATACAGTATACCAACTAGTGTCCCTTTCAAAGTACAGTTACACCTATTCAAGGGCTTATATGACCCAAACAACACTGTATTTCATGTTCTATTTATAGAACTTTGTGCCAGAAATATCAACTTTCAAAAGGCTTTCTGAGTGTTACAGAGATATGTTTTGTTCATTTCCATTCAAGTCTGTGGAAGTTTAGAGTTCAGTATCAGTAATTATATTAACTATTGGTTATTGAATGCCATTATTTTAATGGTAATTCATAATTCATTACAATTATCTTAGGAGACTTCTGCAATGAAAGATTTTTTATACAAATATTTGAATTCTGTAGTACACTAAATATTCTGGATGCACTAACATTTGGCCAATATCTTCGTGTAAATTTTGGATTTCAAAATAATTTACAATTGATTTTTAAGGTTTTATATTTTTCAAATGTGTATTGTTACATTTTGCCTTTCAGTTTTGTTTTGCACTGTAGTAAATAATGGCAAGCAGCCAACCAGATGACAAAGGTGCTAGGCCCAAGACCAATTTGCAGTCAAATAGTGGGCACCAGAAGAACAAGAATGAACGAGGAAGAGCCAAGCATGATAATCAATCTGGGTCAGATGTAGAGAAAGATTCTGTACCAAACAGTGTACAAGGGAATGCACCACCAGGATTTCACCAACCACCATACCTTGTTGATGTGGCTGTTATTTATGCCAAGGAGGATTATGATCAGGTGGAAGATAAGTTTGTTCCATGGTTGAAACGAATGGCCTGGAAAACTAACCTTGTGGATGCAAGGATACATCTGTACGATGATCCTAAAGTTAGCTCAGAAGCTAATGTTTTCAGTCAAACAAAGAATGTGACCGCAAAATGCATGAAAATATTTGTTTTTATCACTGATAATTTGATGGAGGATAAAATTCTTAAAGGCGTAGTAGACGAAATGACTTTCCTGACAAGGTTCATAACAGAAGATGAAGCCAAGCAGCACATTTCCAAGATAAGTGAAAAACTACATCCAGTATGTGCAAAATATCTTTCGGAATGTGTTCAACGTCAAAAGGAAAATGCTCTTATTCCTGTTCAAACAAAAGATAAGAAAATCAATTTCTTTGGACTGATATCGATTCGTCCAATTCTATATTATGATCTGGAGAAGAACTCTAGAGTAAAAGAAAAGATAGCACAAAATTGTATCCAGGGAGCTATGGAAGACAGGACAAAGCTGCAGCAGTACTTCACTAACACTGAAAACAGGGACTGGTCTTCGTGTGAGCATCCAGATTCTTCTTCTTGGAAAAACAACAACAATGTGGTGAGTTCTTGGTTTGATACAGACACACTAAATGTAATACAGTCATTCAGGTATTGCTCATTAAAATATTTATGTTACCTTTTCTTTATTATACCCATATTGTTTCATACTGGGTTTTCAAAATTAGTATGCAAGCACATCTAGTGAAGAACCAAATGACGTTTAATACAGCAATACAGACCCTCTGGGCCTCTTGTTTCTTTTAACTACTTCAACAGGAGCTTATATATACATCCCTTTTCTTAGTTACATAAATACATTTTGTCTGAATTACTTCTGTGCTGCTGATCATGATATGATTAAATTTTGTATACATGATACACCTTGATTAAGTAGGTTTGGTTCCCAATCTGAAAAAAATAGCTATTACGGCATTTGGCAATGTTTTACATAATTGATTGATTAAAAACGTCATTTCTCATTTTTCATTTCTCATATGTCACCGTCAGGCATTGGCTTTCAACATGATATAGATAGGGTTATATTTTTATGTTCCGTTGTGTAATATGGCTTGATATCTACCTATGCTTGACATGAACAAAACCATATTGTAATTAGCACATGCTGGATTCTGGATGAGCGTCAGAATCAAAGCCTTGAAATATATAAGATAAAAAAGGTGATATTCTGTTGAACTTACCTGATGATAAAGTAGTCGATCCTGTACAAGGCCGCAATATTGAACAGCTTACAGCCATATGATTAACAAGTGTCACATGATCAGAGGCTACTTATAATGCAGACTGCTTTTTAGCCGTTTTGTGAACGACAACTCTGGATAGGGTTGCTATCGAGTTAGCCTGTGAGTAACAGTTCTAGTTTCAATTGTTTTCATTGAATATATTTATCATTCTTGTAGCCAATTTTGGATCAAGAAAAAGAAAAGAAGACAGAGAACAATGTCAGCAGAACAGCCAACACTGACTTCATTTCAGGTGTACATTTAAATCAGTAAAACCTCTAATAGGGCAGAATAGAACATTTTGAAGTAACTTAAATACGGTAATTTGCATGTCTTTTCTTTAGACAACAACTGAGAAGAGAATCTTGTCCAAAAAGACATATGTCATTATGATAGGGGTTGAACACCATGCTTGAAATTAAAAGAAAAAATCTTCCCCCAACTCATTTGATGTCAAATGACAGGCTTCGATTTCAATTTCAGAGTCATCAAACACTGTGGAAGGCAATGGACAAGAGAGTTCAGTAGAACCTCGTTTGGAGGGTGATGAAGGAGCTAGTGAGTCTGGAAACAGCCAAGATGAAGGTTTAGGATCAGAACACATTCATCAGTCTCAGGTTCCTACATCAACGGAGAATTCCACACTGGAGACGTCTGAGGAAACCAAAGTATCAGTACATGGTGATCCAGCTGCTACACCTGCTACGTCCAATGGGGACGACACTCCTGAAACTGACTTAGAGGAAGATCAGTTGGAATCTGGAAGGGCCGATAACACAGAAATCAAAACAGTCTGTGCATTAACAGAGTCTGGATATGACTCTTTGTCTGGGGAGGAGCAGCTACAACAAAAGGGTGAATCTAAGCCAGTAAAAGACCCAGGAGAGACAAGTCTTGACAACACAGGGCTAGTGAATGACTCTGGGGATGCAGCACTTGGGAAAGACTTGGGCGACGCAAATCTTAAATCTTCAAAAGAAGAGAGCATGCTTAGTACTGATGCACAAAAGGAAGAGAGAGAGTCTCATTTGTATAGTACACAGTGGAAGAGTAGCATAGAAGATCAAGGTGAGGTCCTTGAACCTACACTTACTTACAGTAAAAGGCCTGAGCCATTTTCTAAAGATTTAATGGCGGGCAATGTCTTTCAAAAAGACTCTGACAGAAGATGTCCAGCTGGAAGTGACGTCTCAGGTAAGTTAACCTATTATGTTACAGGTATATTAGTTGTTTCGCATATGTTATACTGCTGGCTATGTATATAGGCCATATCCCCTAATGACCGATATCTGCCTGCAAGTGCCATTTGCCCCACACTCTCCATAATTATATATATATATATTTCTAACTTTTGCTTCGACACATTTCAGGCAAAAGCACATCTAAGTGAGACTTGGTTTTTGTTGTTGATAATGTTGATGTCGTACTAAAATATTTACAATGTGTAGAATGTGATATCTCCTATGCCATATTAACTTTCAACCCATATCAGCACTGAGGGCTTCCTGCCCCTGTGGCTGATACAGGTCTCGTGTTGATACAGGTGTACGATAAGGTCATATATTATAAAATCTAAAGAGATATAGAACTTGTATTGAACTACCTTTACTAGAACACTACAGATGCAGTATAAGGAATACAACAGGCACAGCATAGATTCCGTCTAAAATATGGGCAGATTTGGTGAAGAGGTTAAGTTACTCGGACCTTATGCACAGATGACTTGGGTTCAATCCCTGAACCTGTACTGAGCACAGGGACATGAGAATTTGTTACAGCTATATTTGGACCTAAACTAAGGTGTTAAGAGTAATTTTACATGTTTTAGAGGTTAAGATCAAGTTTTGGTAAAAATGTCATCCCCAATGATGATAGCCACTGGATAAAGCATCCTCAATGATTAGGGGAAGTTAATCTGTGATACTGACCACTGTGTAACTGGCTATGGGATGATAATTTGTCTTCTGGTTCATACAAGATAATTAAATTCAGTGTTGCCCAAGACCAGAAATGCTTGACTGATTTCCCACGCGTCTAATTTGACCATGCCCAGGAAAGGGCATTCCTGGGTTCACAGACTACTTAAACAAAGAAATATACACATTATTTTTAGCTCACCTGGTCCGAAGAACCATAGTGAGCATACGCCGTGGCGCAGTGTCCGTCGTCGTCCGTCGTCAACTTTTTCTTTAAAACCTATCTCTTCCTAAACGTCAAAGAGGATTTCAACCAAATTTGGACTGAAGCATCAGTAGGGACGGGCAATCATGTTTTAAATAAATGAGGTTTGATCGACACCTGAGGCCAGGGGGGCGGGGCCCTGAAAGGGAACTTATCTAAATTTGCTTTAAAACACATCTCCTCCTAAACGCAGGAGAGGATTTCAACCAAATTTGCTCTGAAACTTCATTGGGGAAGGGCAATCATTTCCTAAATGAATGAGACTGGTTCGACCCCTGGGGCTAGGAAGACCAGGCCCCAAAGAGGAAAATTATCTAATGTTTTGCTTTAAGACGCTAATACCCCCTAATTGCCTGAGTGGATTGTACAAAATTTGGTCAAAAACATTATTGAGGAAGAACAAACATTTCTTAATTGAATGAGGTTGATTTGACCCCTACAGTCCTAAGAAATGGTACAGCTAGATTATCATATTCTATGGTGTAGTTTTACATAAATTGTTCAAAATTGGTTTCTAGGTTTATAAAAGCTTATAGTTGAATGAAAATTAAAGTATTGTCTAATTACATCCTGTAATATGACATATTACTTATTTCAAAATCTGTTAACATGGCAACTCAATGGAGGCCCCTGATTAGTTGAAAGTCAGATACTATGGTCCCAGTTGGGTTAGAACAAAGATTTTGTCTGGTTTTGAGGAAATTTCATATAAAGATATACTAATGCATTCAGTTGTAATGACTTATATATAAAACCAGGTGAGCGATGCAGGTCCAATAGACCTCTTGTTGAAGAGATTTTATTCAAATTTGGCCTAAAGGGAATTTTTTTTTTTTATAAATTGAGGGTGTGGACCCTCTGGGTGGAAATTGAGTAGTGCCAGTGCTTCCCCATGTGAAAATCTTTCTCCTTTTTTCTATTTTTAACTACCTTTTATTTTCGCTCAGGTGAGAAAGGCAATGGGTTCTGTCCCCAAGCTGGGAAATACCAAAGTCCTTAAAAATGTTAGTTGTTATTCCCTGCTTAGCATTCAGCATTGAAAGGAATGGCAACAACTGGTTCACCCGTTGTCAGTATGTGACCGGGCGGAATACTGTGCTTGGTGCCTTTGGCATGGTATTTAAGTGAGATAGCACTATAAAGTCGGCATCAGATCCGTGCTATCACAAGGCGGCAAGCACACCAACATACCCTGTCTCCTGCATACACACACATAGACATGCATTCCACTACACACAAGGAGGCATGACCTTAAATGACCCTTATAGGAGGTTAAACAAAATTAAACCAAATTAAACCAAAGCGAAAATGCTATATTTATCTTTTTCTGTCTTTCGCCTAAGCTTAAAGTTCTTTGATTGCTGGAAAGTATTGTAGTTTAGAATTTTCTTCTGAAGAACAGAAAGACCTGGATTCAAGATATATTAGGCTGGTAGCTTAATGGGATGGAGCTTAACAAAGTTTGCAATAAATATATCCTTGACCTTTATTCAAGGTCACGGGGGTCAGATATGTCAACAATTTCAAATGACTTCTTAAGAACCAGAAGATATTGATTGATGGTGTTAGGCTGGTTGCTGGCTAGGATGGAGCTCAGGAAAGTTTGTAAATAATTATCTTTACCTAATATTCAAGGTCACAGGAGTCATTAATATCAGAATCTTCAAATGGCTTTCCTAAAGAATTGAAAGGTCTAGAATCAGGTTATTACACTGTTAGATTCCCAGGATGGGGCCCAAAAAAAATGAAAATAAAAATGAACTTGACCAATATCCAAGGCCCAAGGGTTCCAATATGTCTAAAACTTCAAACAACTTCTGAAGAAGACTGGAAAGGTCTAGAGTCACGATATCAGGATGGTAGTGTAATGGGATCGATCCCCAAAATGTTTGCAAATAGAAATGATCTTGACCAATATTCAAAGTCACAAGGGACAAATATATAAAAAAAAAATCAATCTAACTCTTCTGAAGAAGTCCTATATTCATGATACTATGCTGGTAGCTTCCTGGGATGGAACCCAACAAAATGGCCATTATAAAAATGTCCTTTAGCTGTATTCAAGGTCAAAGGGGTCAAATGTGTCAAAAGCTTCAAAAGCCTCTAATGCCTAGAATCACATTATTTGGCCAGTAGCATGTTTGGATGAAGGACTATGAAATCAGTGCAAAAGAATAACCTTCGCTTATATGAAAGGTCATTGGGGGGCAGTTATGTCAAAAACTATGAAAGATCTTTCTGAAATTCATAGGAGTTCGAAGTTTAAATTATATTCCTTTTATTCCATTTTTATCGGAAACAAGAAGGCCACCAATTGGGGCTGATTAGAAAAACAAGATGGCCACTAGGCCATCTATGATCTCGAGATTTCAAGATTGTCATCACTATTTCTCAATAAGTACCGTAAAGATCTTTCTCAAATTACATATGAAAGTTCTTCTTGGTCCATAGTTGTGCACATTTCATTTTGGGACTAATCGGAAAAACAAAACGGCTGACAGGCAGGCACCTTGGATGTTGCAAGTTCAAGACTGTTTTTTCTATTTCTCATGAAGCACTTGAAAGATCTTTCTCAAATTTCATTTGATAGTTCTCCTTGGTCTAAAACTGTGCAGGTTTCATTTTGGAAAATGCTTTCTAAACAAGATTGCCACCAGGCAGCTATCATGGATTTTTAAAGTTTAACTCTGTTAATGTTATTTTTCAGTACTTTACAGATGTTTGCTCAAATTTCATATGAAAGTCAACCTTGTTATGCATGTTTTATTTTGGGAGTTCAATGCTTTATTAGATTTTTGTGGTCATTTCTGTATGGGTTGGGGATATATCTATGTGACCCCTGCTGTTGAATGTTTCCAATGATTGTCATCATATTTGCTTTATTTATGTTTCAGGTGCAAAACATTACAACATAGCTTCCAATAAAGACATTCCAGAACAAGCCATTGCTATTCACAACGAAATGGTAAATTATCTTGGTGAACGTATTTATGGGGATGACCTAATCAAACTTAAGGAGCTCTTCAGAAATATCCCACTTACCCCTGCCGCCATGGAAAAAATCCATGATATACGTGACCTATTTAAGCATCTTATAGTCAATGAGATAATAAGTTATGGCAGCTATACAGAATTTGTATCAAACCTTAGGCAGATCAATCCATTGATGGCAACATATATGGAGAAAAAAGGAAAAGAAATTCAAGAAATCATCACTTGTGGTAAGTTGTTCTACATACAGTTCTTGTTTATACTTATTGGCTCACCTGCCCAGAGGGCAAGTGAGCTTATGCCATGGTGCGGCGTCCGTCGTCCTTCCAGTGTCAAACTTTACTTTAAACAACTTCTTCTCATAAACCAAAAGGCCTAGGATGATGATATTTGGCCAGAAGTATGCTGGGATGAAGGGCTACCAAGCTTGTTCAATTAAATGACCTTGACATATATTCAAGGTCACAGGGGTCAAATATGTTTAAGACCTTTAAACAACTTCTTTAAATAACCAAGAGGCCTTGGGTGATGATATTTGGCAAGTAACATGCTGGTATGAAGTGCTACCAAGTTTGTTTAAATGAATGACCTTGACTTATATTAGGTCAGCTGAGCTTTGCTAAAGTGATCTATTCTGATCGCTTTCTGTCCGTCTACGTCTGTCATGTGTTGTGCGCCATCCGTCCTGCGTAAAAAAAATACATTTTCGACTTCTTCTCAAGAACCAGTGAATGGATTTTTTTTAAACTTGGTGAGAATCATCCTTGGTAAATTAGGCTACAAATTGTGAAATTGGGATTCCTAACCCAACCCCTGGGGCCAGGGTGGGGCCTCAAAGGGAAAATTAATCAATGTTTCAAAAATCTTCTTCTCCAGACTCAGAGGTGCTTCATTAAATTTCTCTGCATGGATAGAAAGATCATCAGGGGCTTTATTTAAATTGTAAACTTTAAGACCTCCATGCCATCAGTTCTCCCTTGGGGAGGGGGTAAAGTTTACTATGCATGTAGTTTATATAGGGAAATATCACTTATGGGTAAATTTCAACAATTTTCTGTAGGAAATTATTCTTACTTGGTGAGATTCTTCCTTAGAGAAAGATGGTTTTTAATATGCCATGGTGCAGCGTCTGTCGTCCGTTCGTCAACATTTCCTTTAAAACACTACTAGTCCTGAACGGCTTTGTATAAATGTTGAGTGTGGCCCCCCTGGGGGCAAAAGGAGCGGGGCTCAATAGGAAAAATAGAGGTACTTCTAGATCTTCTACTGTATGGATTAAGGGATTTTATCCTAATTTAGCCTGGAGCATCCTTGGGCCAAGGGGACTCAATTTTGTATAAAAGGTGGGTGTGGCTCTCCTGGGGTCAGAAGGGTGGGATAGAATAGGGGAAATGAGGTTAAACCTTTAAAATCCTTCTTCTACCGTAGGGATTAAGGGATTTTATTCTAATTTAACCTGGAGCATCTTTGGGCCAAGGGGACTGAATTTTGTATAAACTGTGGGTGTGGCCCTCCTGGGGTCAGAGGGGTGGGGCCCAATAGGGAAAATAGAGGTAAAACCTTTTAAATCCTTCTTCTATGTTAGGGATTAAGGGATTTTATCCTAATTTAGCCTGGAGCATCCTTGGGCAAAAGAGACTCAATTTTGTATAAACAGTGAGTGTGGCCCCCTCTGGGAGCAGAGGGACAGGGCCCAATAGGGGAAACATAGCAAATTCTTCAAAATCCTTCTTCTTCTGTAGGAATGACATGATTTTGTCCAAATATGGTATGAAGCACCCGTGCGTGAAGTGGAAGCAACTTGAATAATTGGTAGGTCTGACCCCCCTGAGGCCTGAGGGGTGCGGCTCAAAAGGGGTAATTTAGCAAATTCTTAAAAAATCTTTTTCATCTGTAGGAATGGCAGAGTTTTGTCCATATTTGGTCTGAAGTATCCTTGGGTGAAGGGCACTTAATTTTGTATAAACGGTTGTTCTGACCACCCTTGGGGCAGAGGGGTGGAGCCCAATAGGCGAAACATAGCAAATTCTTCAAAATCCTTCATCGTCTGTACGAATGACAGGATTTTGTCCAAATTGGTATGAGGCACCCTTGGGAAATTGGGAACCAAATTATTATAAATGGCGGTTCTCACCCCTTTGGGGTCAGAGAGGCAAGGCCAAAAAGGGATATAGAGGAACAGCTTTAATATCCTTCTTCCTATGTTGGGATGAAGGTATTTTGACCAAATTTGAACAATAGCATCCTATGGGGAAATTAATTTTGTATAAATGGTGGGTCTGACCCCCTTGGGGACAGAGGGGCGGGGCCCAATAGGGGAAACGTGGCAATTCTTCAAAAACCTTCTTCTTCTGTAGGAATGACAGGATTTTGTTCAATTGCATATA